ATACAAGATCTGGTCTGATGTTTTTATTCTTGCTTCTAAAAATATCAACTAGCATTTGTTAGTACTTTATGTTACATTTCAGTACTGGTACTTTAGTATTTATTATCACATTCGTACTCACCCATTTGAACTTTAGGAATTTTGCCTTTGTCATAGAAAAAAGTAGAATCATACATTTCAGCCTAGGAGGCAAAATATATGTAAAATAATGTTATCAAATGGAAATATAATTGATCAGCCAGCAGCCTTTGAAATTAATAGAAAATAAATAAGATAATATTCAAAGAGATAAAAGTAGCAGGTAAACAAACCCACCATATTGGACTTCCCTGATAAAATAATTTTCTAATTTATCCTTATAAATCATCTTTAAAATTGGCACCTCAGCTCCAAAACTGTAGTAGAGTCATGTCCAGTTCTCACTCCCTTTATAATTTTTTACACTGGTGCATAGCACAAAACTTAAAATCATAAAGCAGAGCTAGGACAGTCGAACTACCACCATTCAGTTCCATCTAGATACCATCCACAAATGCAATCAATGCCATTTCATTCACATACCCAACCCTGAAATCTACTGGAATCCCACTTCATTCAGATCCCTTTGAAGGAGCAAGGCAACCAACTTCTCAACAATCCTCCCTAAAATAAGAAGGTTGGAAACATGAAAAAAAATTGTCCAAAACATGTTTATGCATGGCTTTGCAAGGAAGAGGTTGCCACTTTAAGCAATGCAGAACTTTAATTTTATATGCCAACATGTGTAGCCTTTGTGGAACCAATAAATTTTTGCCAGTAAAGATAGTGTCAGAAACTGATTTTATTGATCTTTATTATTATTTTTTTAAAGGTGTGACAAGATCCTTGGGCATTAAGATAGTATAATGGTATCTACAGAAAGCATGATGTTTACCCCTTATCTAATATTGCAATAACCTTATCAATATAACTGTGGAAAGTATTTAAACTAAAATGTTATCTTTAAAAAAGTAATTGAAAACACTTTCTGAAACTAGCAGAAATGCTAGAATGAGGTAAAAGAACTGTGACAGAGTAAGCACTGCCTATAATTGTTCTGTCATGTGTCTGTATGTAAAAGCGAATCACAATATACCAAATTAGAACCTGGTTGGTGGAAGCAAGTTTCTGAGACTATTGGAAGTCTTTTCTAAAACTTAACCTTCGCAGCTATCAAATTCTCTTCCTCCGTCATCTGGCCATCAGGAGAAAGTGAACAACGTGGGGTGGGGAGGTCTCAATGAGCTGTGCATAGAATAGCCTTCAAGTGGCTCATCCATGACTTTGATTTTAGTATCTGTGTTAATTTGCTAATGGAGTTCTAACAGATTTTTTGCAGTAACAATTTTAGGGGGAAATAGTCTGGTGTCCATCTAACCGGTGTCCATTTCAAAAATCTAAAGCCAGCTTTGTTTTCAAAAGAGCAGCAAATGTTTTCTTTCCATCCTCAAAATATGAACCTTTAAAAAAAAAAAGGGGGGGGGACAGCAAAGCATTACCTCTTCCTCTTTAGAATATTCTAGTTTTCTCAATCTACAGGATCTCATATGTTTCTCCAAGGAAGATTTAGGCATTTGATGATTAGTATCATAAGGACAAGTCACTTTCTCACTCTGGAGGGAAAAAAAAGAAAATAGGTTTTAGCATGAAGCACAGTGGCAAGACTTAGTAGACACGCTTGACAATAAAACATGATTTTCAATTTTTCATTTTCCCCATGCTTCATTTGATGAAATTATTAAGGTGCTAGACTAAAACCCAGAGATTGCAAGTTCTAATCCTTCCTTAAGCACGAAAGCTTTGGACCAATCATTCTCTCGGCACAATCTTCCTTACAAGGCTGCCTTTGTAGNGCTGCATGTAGGGCAAACAGAGTGACTGAACCCTATGAAAGCAAAAAAAAATTAGTAAGTTCCCAGAGAAGAGAAAATGAGATATTGAATAAGAGTTCTTTATATCAGACCATTATTCAGCATATGCAAGGGAAGTAAATAAAAATCAAATTTGTGTTCAGAATCTCAGTCAGTACCACAGTTTCTATACCAAGTGGATGTTTGTGGGCTCCCCAGTGAAAAATCTTAGCTTTCACTTACCTGGGCAACAATTTCCACACTCTTTGGCCATGGCTTTCTTAATAATGTCAAACTGTAAATCTTTATCTGTAGCAAAACAAAAGATAACACAGGAATGTTAAGAATACTTTGTAATCACTAAATGTATGCCTGAAAAATAGAGGCTATACTTTTGCAGTACTGAGCAATGTTAACAATATACTGAGAAATTTGTACCATTGGAAATCATGTGTTTCTTTTTCTATAGTCATTTTTAATATTCCAGACTCATTGAATCTTATAAAATCAAGAGAAACTGACAGATTTTGAAAAAATAAGTCTTGGGGTAGACAAACTAACATTGTTCATATATCGTGTTAAGCCAGTGTTTTATCTATTTTTGATTGGAGTGTTGGTTTTCACTTATTATGATGCAGCTAATTGTATCTTATTTAATTACCATTGTTAAGCAAGTTATAAAAAATAATCAACAATTATCTCTTTTAGAATACAAACAATTCCTCTATAGATGGTGATTCCAAACCTTGAAAATAAAAGCATTTTAAAAATGCAACTTGACGTGACCGCATCTGAGTTTAGAACCTTTTTTGGGGGGCAATAGTTAAGTGAATCACCATACTTATTAAACAAATGCTGCAGTCATTAAGCACATCCATTGCCTGCAACGAGTGTTGTTTTTGCCAGAAACCAGAAGTAAACAACGATTTACAGCAAAACAAAATGTAAATCATGGCTCACATGACTTGGGGATGCTGTAAACAGCTATAAATGCAGGCCATCCAAAATGCTCAGCATAGTAATAAGAGGTGTGTGTTCAATTCCTAGTTGTACGGAAACCCTTGAGAGATCTGTGGTAACTTTGAACAGCTACTAAGCAATCTTTGTAAGTTGAGTATTACTTGTAGACAGCTCTTAAACATATATCCATACTTCATCTCTGCATAGAATCAACGTTTTATATTGACAGTACATATAGGATCTGGTCTGGTGTTTTTATTCTTGCTTCTAAAAATATCAACCAGCATTTGTTAGTACTTTATGTTACATTTCAGTACTGGTACTTTAGTATTTATTATCACATTCGTACTCACCCATTTGAACTTTAGGAATTTTGCCTTTGTCATAGAAAAAAGTAGAATCATACATTTCAGCCTAGGAGGCAAAATATATGTAAAATAAT